TGACCCTGAGCGCCGCCCAGACTCTCACCGTGCAAGGGCCCCGCGGGCAGACAGCCGTGGCTGTCGGCCTGTGGTCACTGGGCGGCCCCGTGGCTCCCCTTCTCCTGAAACAGAAAGCCTGCGGTCAGTTCCCCGTTTGCTACGGGGAGAGCGGCCTGGAGGGGACCTTGGCCTTGGCCTCGTCTGTCGGGGTGGAGCCTGCGCCCCAGGTGGCTCCACGAGGCCGGGCCCCTCACCAGCCCCTTTTCTGTTCTGTTGGTGGGTGGGCTCGCCCCTCCCCGTCCGCACCCCGAGCTGCTAACCTCATGGCATCGTTAACGCTGAGAGAGGTGTGAGCTGACGGTGGGGCCGAGAAATGGCTTTTCCATCGAGGTGTTTGCTTCTTTCTTTATTTTTTTACTGTTTAAAATTTTCTTTTCTATTAGAGAGAGAGAGAGAGAGAGAGAGAGAGAGAGAGAGAGAGGGAGAGGGAGAGAGAGAGACAGAAAAATAAAGAAATCACGGATCGGCTGCCTCCTGCACGCCCCCTACTGGGGATCGAGCCCGCAACCCGAGCATGTGCCCTTGACCGGACTCGAACCCGGGACCCTTCAGTCCGTAGGCCGACGCTCTATCCACTGAGCCACACCGGCCAGGGCAAGATGTTTGCTTTTTAAAAGAGAATGCTGACGCCCAGCCGGCGTGGCTCAGTGGTTGAGTGGTCGACCTATGAACCAGGAGGTCACGGTTCGGTTCCCAGGGGGACTCGATCCCCAGGGTGGGGGTGCAGGAGGATGATTCTCATCATGGATGTTTCTCTCCCTCTCCTTTGTTCTCTGACTCAGATTGTTCCGGAAAATGATGGTGGGGTGTAGTAGGGTCTTGCTCAGTCTTTCAAAGGATTTATTTTATTTTTAATCAATTTTTATTGATTTCAGAGAGGAAGGGAAAGAGAGAGAGGATAGAAACATCCATGATGAGAGAGAATCACGGATCGGCTGCCTCCGGCACGCCCCACCCTGGGGATCGAGTCCCCCCACCCCCACCCCCCCGCGGGAATCGAACCCCGACCTCCTGGTTCATAGGTGGAAGTTCAGCCAGTAAAGCGACGCTGGCCGGGCGGGATTTCGACTGGAATTCATCTGATTGTTTTAATGAGATCTGTTTGTGTGCTGACATTCAGACTGCGGTTTAAAAAGACAGAACGGCCGAAACTGGTTTGGCTCAGTGGATAGAGCGTCGGCCTGTGGACTGGAAGGTCCCAGGTTCGATTCCGGTCAAGGGCATGTACCTGGGTTGCGGGCACATCCCCAGTGTGGGGTGTGCAGGAGGCGGCTGATCGATGTTTCTCTCTCATCGATGTTTCTGACTCTCTGTCTCTCTCCCTTCCTCTCTGTAAAACATTAATAAAATGTATTTTAAAAAAAATAAAAAGACAGAACGGACCGCGTCCACTGGAGGGATGGAGGCCTGTGCGGCCGCGGCCCCCGCGATCCCGTGTTCTTCCCTCTTTCCCGTCTCGGCCTCGGGCGCCGGGCTGACACGGGCTTTCAAAACCGTCCGGGGAAAGTCACTTTTTTCTTTTTTCTTTTTTCCCGTTGGTTCTGGGCCAGATCCCTGGAGGGTGTCTCCAGGCTCGGGAGGATGTGGAAACCCTGCAAAGAGAATTCCGAGCCCAGGGCTGCTCTTCAGTTTGGGGTGGGTCTGTTTTTGTGTTTTGTTTTATCTGAGTCTCGTTCTGGATTATCAGGCGCTGACGGGAGAATTGCCTTCCACCCGCAAGACACGGGCCTCCCGCCACCCGGGTGGGGGCCGCCTGCTTCCCCCGGGGGTCAGGCTCCCCCCTGTTGGGACGTGGACTCCTTCGGGCTTGTAAACACGGGAGCCCTGACCCGTCCCCTGACCCCCGGCGAGGAGCCCGGAGTTCACACGCCAAGTGGTGGCTGAGCTGCTGTGTCATCACCTGGAGGATTTGCAGGGATGACGGAGCGGCTCCGTGAGGGACGCCGGGCGGCCTCTTTGAACTCTCAGATGGGATTTTTTTTTCTTTTTTTTAAATGAAGGTGATTTGTTTTATTTTTTAAATATATATTTTTTATTGATTTCAGAGATGGAAGGGAGAGGGAGAGAGAGATAGAAGCATCCATGATGAGAGAGAATCTTTGATCGGCTGCCTCCTGCACGCTCCCTACTGGGGATCGGGCCCACAATCCAGGCATGTGCCCTGGACTGGGAATCGAACCTGGGACCCTTCAGTCTGCAGGCTGACACTCTATCCACTGAGCCAAACCGGCCAGGGCTCAGATGGGATTTTTGAACTGGGTCTTGAGGATCGAATAGGAGTTTGCAGGTGGGTGTTAGTACCGTAGGAGCTGGGGTCGAGGGGCCGGTTCTGTGTGCCTGCTGTGTGAGGGCGGGGCTCTGGTCCCACGGGGTGTGGGGAGGGTGGGCCAGAGCTCCACGCACGATGGCTCGGCCCAGTGAGCCACCCAAGGGTTCTAAGCACGGGACACATAAGACTTGGTGGCCAGGGGTAAGAAGAGGGTTTACTGCCCGGCCGGCGTGGCTCAGTGCTTGAGCATCATCCCAGGAACCAGGAGGTCAGGGTTCGATTCCCAGTCAAGGGCACAGGCCCGGGTTGTGGGCTCGATCCCCAGCAGGGGGCGTGCAGGAGGCGGCCGATCCATGATTCTCTCTCATCATGGATGTTGCTATTCCTGCCAACATGCTGAGCGGGTGGGTTTCGTCCCCGCCGCGCCCTCCTCCCTCTGCCGTGAGACCGGGGAGCGCTGGGAGCTTTGGATCTCGACTGCGCTCGGGACGTCTTGGCCGCCGTGAGCACGCGGAGGGCGGGTGGGCGGTGCTGCGAGCCTCACACAAAATAACTCAGTCTCGTCACAACACCATCCAGTAGGTTCCTGTGTTATTCACTTTCTAAGAAAATAAGTTTTTATTGATTTTTAGAGAGAGAGGAAGTGGGAGAGAGAGAGAAACCTCAATGATGAGAAAGAATCATGGACCGGCTGCCTCCTGCACGCCCCACACTGGGGATGGAGCCCACAACCCGGGCCTGTGCCCCGACCGGGAATCGAACCCTGACCTCCTGGGTCATAGGTCGATGCTCCAAGCACTGGGCCACACGGGCCGGGCTCAGAGGACTTGATGGTGGGACTTTTCCAAGGAGAGAGCTGGGCGTGGAGAGAAGGAAGTGTCTAGGGTCCACGGGACGAGATAGGTGGCCGGGCCTGTCTGCCCGAGGGGGGCTCCGGGGTGTGGGACAAAGGCCTGTGGGAGCAGCTGCCCCCCCTCCCGCCCCCCGTGGGTCTCAG